ATTTCCTTTTACTTTCCTCATATCCCACTATCATGCTCAGCCTTCATTTGGGTTTCAGTAGTTCCTCTCAGTTACATTGCCCTTGATCAAGCCCTACCAGGCCTCCTACACCCTCCTTACCACCGATTTTGGATCACTTGTTCCCTTGTTCCTGGGTTTGTTAACACCAGTTTCCCTTTCCCTCGCCTCCCCTCTCTCATGTCCCCCTGGAACCATCCGTTGTTTTCTCCTCCAGATTGTTCATCCCACCTACCTTAACTAGATAGACCTGCAGAGAAAATATGCACAAAAAACGAGACAGAGCAAAACAAAGCAACAAAAGGAAACAAAACAACAACAAAACAAATGACAAAAAATAGAAAAGCCTGTAAATAGTTCAAGGTTTGTTTGTTGACCTTTAGGAGTGTTTTCCAGTTGAGTCTGATGGGGTGCCACTCCCTGGCCACAAAGTCTAATTTTGGTACTCCCTCGGAACCTCCTTGCTCTGCTCCCCTTGCTGTTCTGTTGCATGCCCTTAGTGTTTCGCCTTGGTGTGGTGGGGTCAGATCGGGCAGGAATACATATTCTTATGGTTCACTTTATTTCAATCATTCTAAGATTTAAATCTTAGAACATATGAGTATAATCTCATAGGAAGCTCCCATAGGAGCTTATCACCTCTCATAGTATATAATTATAAATATATATTATTGTTGTTGTTTTTTAAATGTTGCGCATCACTTTTGCTCCTCTGAAGTGCAACCTATATTTTGTAAGGAAAGGGTACAACTTACACTTCTGTAACAGTAGACATTACAAAATTCCATAAGATGATCACGCCATTTAAGGTTCCAGCAGCTATCAAATTATAACCTTCTAATTGTAGTAAGTCGATACAGTTCACTTCTGTACGGATGGCAGGATTCTAAAGGATAAAAGAAATAGATTTGCCACCTATCATGATCACCATTTGAATAATAGTCATATTAACTGGTCTTCTTTCCTATCACTAACAGTGTTGTAGTTCAGATTAGATCTTGAGATGACTGTTTGCTTTGTTTTATTAAAAATTAACAGTGTTAGTGACATATTAATTCACATATCATACAGTCAATAGTTTCAACATATTAAAAAGACTTGTGAAATCATCACTACAATCAATTTTAGAATATTATTTACAGTGATCTCTTTATGAGGGCCGATATTGAGTAGGGCCTTGTCATGCAAACTAATTTGTTCTTAAATTAGGGCTATGATTAATTGCAAGCTCAAAATCAGTTTGATGGTTTATATGTCTCTGGTCCACTTTAGAAGTATCATTATCTTTTTATTGAAGAATATTATAAATAATCCCCATGGGGTATATGGTAATTTTATTGATAATATTTTTAATTTAGCCAATAGTATAGAATTTCAAATAATATTTAGAAAAGGAAAGTATACATGCATAGGACAGTTTTTTAGGCCAGAATACATGGATAGTTGACCTGTACACATAAAAAACTCAAGTAATTGGATACTACTTATGCAAACAATGATAGCTGGGGATAGGGAAACATTTTCAATAATTCTAATTCACAAAGGCAGAACCATCCCTGGTGGACTATCAAATGAAAATGTTTAAAAATCAAAGAGAGGATGAAAATAGCAAATGTATGGCAGTCCCATGCCACGCTTCATTGGGCACCATCAAAGCAGAGAGATCTAAACCAAAGTCCAATGACCTCCAAATCTACAATGTTGGAATAGCTGCCATCTGGGTCTTCTCACACTAAGGTGTTTCAGCTTT